CCTCATACATGTGTCTACCACACAAATGGTAGTTACCTCAACTCTCAAAAAAGTTAATGGGGCCTACCTCCACTAAAAATAAAAATAAAAATAAAACAAAAAACTCATTTCAAATATTGTAAGATCCATAAAGTGGGATGTTATTTAGAAATAAAACTTTATTCAATCTGTTAAAATTAAATAACAAATCTATACATAAAAAAATCAAATAAAATAATGGCCTAAATTAACAACATAAAAAATGGGTATCAAACAAAGTTGATTAAAATACATAAATAGAAAAGCATCCCAAAAGTGGTTCTCCCACTCTCAAACAAAAGCATTATTCCTCATACATGTGTCTACCAATTCAAATGGTAGTTACCGCAACTCTCAAAAAAGTTAATGGGGGCTACCTCCACTAAAAATAAAAGTAAAAAAAAAAAACAAAAAACTCATTTCATATATTGTAAGATCCATAAAGTGGGCTATTATTTAGAAATAAAACTTGATTCAATCTCTTCAAATTAAATAACAAATCTATACATTAAAAAATAAAATAAAATAATGGATATCAAACAAAATTGATAACACAAACAGAAAAAAAAAATCAGACTACTGGTCCTATACTTAGAACGGGGAAACTTGATGATAGTTTTTTCGGGGAAATTTGGTGATCGTTTCAAACAATGTTTTAAAACGTGGAGACGTGGCGCGAGGTGTTCCACTACCTAGAGGCATGAGGCGTAGTTCAGAACACAAGAGGAGTAAGCCTCCTTAAGAGGAGGGGGGTTAGGAGGAGAATGAAGAGGGAGGGGGGATCTCATTTTTTCTTTATTTTTAATAAAAATCTTTTATATTAACAAGAATAAAGATGCATAACATTAGTTGAAAGGGGGGTTGGGGGCAAAGCCCCCTAGCTGAAGGGGCAAGGGGCAAAACCACTTTCTTTCCCCTTATCTTTTCTTCCCTTCCCTTTCCTTCTATTTTCTTTCCTTTTCTCTTTTTTTCTTCTCTTTTTTTTTCTTTCCCTTCCCTTTCTTTTCATTTTTCTTTTTTTTCTGTCTTTTTATATAAGATGTGCATGAGGCGTAAGCCTCTAGCACGCCTCATGAAAAAAGCGCGCGAGGCGTACACCTCTTGCACCTGAGGTGTACACCTCAAAGGTGTCAGTGCCTTCTTGTAACAAGGTTCTCTTCGTCGCACCATCAAGTGCCATCCACTGTGCCTTCAGCCGCAACTCCAACGTCCAAGTGTGTGCCATGGGTGGGCTAAACATGTACTTTTGTATGGGGGGCTGCCAATGGCAATATTGTAATATTGTAGTATGCTTTTTCATCTTTTTGACGTTTCTTA